AACAAGCCAAAAGCTGTTTCTCAAAAGGAGAGTAGAGGATGGCAGGGCTTCGCTCCAAAATTTCAAGGGTCTGCATTGTGATTCACCAGTAGGGACCTGCCAAAGACTCCAAAAAGCATCTCTATCTACTACAAACACTTCAAGCACCATTGGATCAGCCGGATCATGTGGCCCAAGTGGCAGAGCAGTAAGCTCTGTAAGCTTGCATCAGTAAGCTGCATGGCAGCCTGAACTTGTTGCAGAGGCCCACTCAAAACTAGCAGCTTTCTTAGTCACTTGATAAATAGGCTGCAGCAACACACCCAAATGAGGGATATGTTGCCTCCAAAATCCAAAGAGACCCACCAGACGTCATGCCTCCTTTTTAGTTGTGGAGGAAGCCAGATACAATAACTTACCCTTCACTTTAGTAGGACTATCTTGACATGCCCTACACCATTGGACCCCTAGAAATTTCACTGAGGTGGAAGGTACCTGAATTTTTGTTGGATTAATTTTCCAACCTCTAGCATGCATATGTAAATAAATCTAGCGTCATCGATTCTTCTTCCATACTAGGCCCAATCAGCATAATGTCAATATAATGGACCAGTGTATGTCTTGTGGAAGAGAAAGGTGATCAAGATCACTATGGACTAAACGATGACATAGTGCTGGGGAGTTGATATACGTCTGAGGAAGCACTGTGAAAATGTATTTTTGGCCTTGAAGGCAAACTGCTTCTGATGGTCCTTTAAATTGGTATTGAGAAAAAGTCATTGGCCAGATCAATAGCTGCATACCAAATACCAGGAGATGTACTAATTTGCTCAAGCAATGAAACCACATCAGGAACAGCAGCTGCAGTCAGAGTCACCACCTTATTAAGTTTACGATAATCTACTGTCATTCTCCAAGATCCATCTGTTTTTTGCACAGGCCAAATAGGCGAATTAAATGGGGATGTGGTGGAAATCACCATCCCTGCATCCTTCAAGTCCTTGATGGTGGCAGTAATCTCTGCAACCCCTCTAGGGATGTAGTATTGCTTTTGGTTTACCATTTTTGTAGGTAGAGGCAGTTCTAATGGCTTCCACTTGGCTTTTCCTACCATAATAGCCCTTATTCCACATGTCAGGGACCCAATGTGGGAATTCTGCCAATTGCTCAGTATATCTATTCCAATTATGCATTCTGGAACTGGGGAAATCACTACAGGATGGGTTCAGGGACCCACTGAACCCACTGTGAGATGCAGCTTAGCTAAGACTCGCATCAATAAACTTGACCTCCATATGCCCCCACTCTGACTGGTGGGCCACAATGAGGCTTTGGGTGTCCTGGAATTGGTGTCAGTTCTGAGCCAGTGTCCAGTAATCCCTGAAAAGTCTGATTATTTCCTTTTCCCCAGTGGACAGTCACTCTTGTAAAAGGCCTCAGATCCCTTTGGGGAAGGCTGGGAGAAAGATTGACATTATAAATTTTTGGTAATGTAGTTGGGTCCTTCCTCAAAGAGACCTGATCTCCCCTTCATTCAAGGGGTTGTGGGTCTGTAAACTGACTCAAGTCTGGGAATTGATTGAGTGGCCGTGACTCTGTATCTGGTGGTTCAATCTAGGCTGCTGTTCATGTGACCTAGAGTTCTTCTGTCTGTACAGATCAAATATTTAGTAGGTTTGTCATGTATTTCACTCCTAGGAACACCATAACAAAGTAGCCAATGCCATAATTCCACACAAGTCAGAATATTCTGATTACTGTTCAATTCTGCTGTCCATTATGGTAACCACGCCCACCTTGCCTTTGTCGATTAACTACTGCCACTTGGTCCCTACTACCACGGGGTGCAGTCAGCCCCATCATAGTTAAGTATCTTAGTTCAATTAGGGTAGTTCCCACTGTGAAATCCAGTTTACATAAAATAGCAATCACAGTAGTCTTCAAGGATGCTGGGCTCCCTTCGCAAATTTATTCCTCACTGTACTAGTGAAAGGCGTGTTTTTGGGACTCTCCTTTTTGGCTCTAGGGGTCTAATCAGATAAAACCATTCTAACAGGCCAGTTTCCCTAAGCCTATGGATACCTTCTTCTACATTATACCAAGGCAGGTCTGGTACTTCAACTTGACTTAAGGTAGGCCACAGCATAATCCATGCTTCAGTAAGCCAACCAAATAAACTATTAGATCCTTTCCTAACCTCTCGAGCTGAAACATTGAATGAAGAATCTGTATTTAGTGGGCCTAAATCAGTAAACTCAGACTGATCCAATGCTACATTCCTTGCACCATTATCCCACACCCTCAGTAGCCATTCCCATACATATTCTCCAGGTTTATGTCCATACATGTTAGCAAAATCAAGTAGGTCTTTTTGGGTGTAGTGTACCACCTCCTCAGTCACACTTTGTATTTCACCTTTTGGGGCTCACTTGGACTTAACTTTAGTTATAGGTCTAGCAGGAACAATGGGTGGTTGGGGCAATTCCTGAGAACATTCAGCAATGTTCCATGGCCTCTGCCTCAGGCAGTGACCCAGCAGGAACAGTTGCGTTAATCCCATCAAACTGAGGTGGAGGGGATAGTGGTTTTACAGTAATCCTTTCAGATGGGAGGGATTCAACAAAATTTACAGGCTCTATATCCTGATCTTCCTGGCTATTTGCCCATATGTGTTCATTCCAGGTTTCAGGATCCCATTTTTTCCCAGTCAGTGCCCTCACTTTAACTTCAGACACCATTCTAAGTTGGCAATTTAATTGCGTTGTAATTCAGCACCCTTACAGTAAGACTCTGGGTTTGGTTTTTGGCAATGCCAGCTCTGTTACTAGGAGAAATAAGGGTTTCTTTCAAGCACAACTGGAAACATTGAGGTCTTTTATGTGACACGTAAGCTGTGACTCAGCAGCCCTGAACTCATCTCGCTCTTTCACCACTTTGTCTAGTGTTAGTAGGACCAACCAACCAGCTTTCTTATACTCTTCATGCTGACAGAATTGCAGAAAAGTATCAAATATGCAATCACTCAGAGCCTCACTGCTCAAAAGTACTTGATTTATTGGTGGTGCTATTTTGCATATTAATGTTGCCACCTCATGCCACGATTAGCAGGGCTGTCTTTACTCACAGAGGCAGGGTCACCAGTGCCTTTACAATTAATCAAATTGGAGAACCAATTTAGGAAGCCCATCATTATGATTCTGTCTCTCTAGAACCACACCCAGTACCAAATGTGTTAGACTGGGTTCTCTAGAGAAACACAACCAGTAAAGCTTATATATAGAGAAAGAGAAATTTATCTTAGGAAAATGGCTCACACGCTTATAGAAGCTGGCAAGTCCCAAGTTCTTGGATTAAACGTCAAGCTGGAGGCTTTTCCTGACATGGCTGCAGGGGTGGATGAGCTCCAGCTTGGCAGGCAGTGTACTGGCTGTTGACTCCAACAAATGACGAATCCAAGATCTCCAGGCTGAACGGTGGATTGTTTGCTCATGGACTGTTACAGGCAGCACAATAGAATCCTGATCCACAGAAGAGTGTCTGTTTTCCCAGGATGTCCATAAATATACTGGAAGCAGTCCACACCTTTAAGGAAACTCCCTTTGAGTGGATTGACTGCTCAGAACGTATACATCTGATCCCATCATGGGAACAACCCACATCACAGTTGCTTAAACCACACAGAATTGTGGTCCACCAAATTGACACACAGCTCCAACTATCACAACATTGTACCATAATTTCATTTATCAACTTTCTGTGGTACTGTACATCTTAGTACAGGTGGGCATCACTTAATATCTTTTTGTTCAGGTAGTGTGTAACTGCATGTATGTCCATGGCCCTTTTGTTTATTATCTCCCCCTAATATTTAAAAGGAGCTCTGGTGGTACAGTGGTTAAAGCATTTGACTGCTAACCACAAGGTCAGTGGTTCAAACCCATCTCCACTCTGTGGGAGAAAGATTAGACAGTCTGCTTCCGTAAAGATTTATAGCATTGGAAACCCTGTGGTCAGTTCTACTCTGCCCTATAGGGTTGCTGTGGGTTGGAATCAACTCGATGGCAGTGAGTTTGATTTTTTAGGTTTTAATGGTTAAAAGAGACCCCAACCTAGACTCTTGCAGCACTGGACCATGAGTGGGAAACAGGCAGGTGAAGCAGAGAGTATGGCTCTGGGTGTGGGCTCTCGGGCTTTATCTGGTGGGTTAGCGGTGGCAGCAGCAGTAGCAAGGGGGCTGTGGGCTGGGTTGCTCCTGCTGCTTGGGTGGGCGGCACAGTAATCGGGGCAGAGCAGAGTGCACTCCACCCCCTCCCTACTCTCTTCCTCTCGCTTTGCTTCTGCCCTGTCAGCTGCCTGTCTGCTCTCCAGCCTCCACCAGCCACTCTAGCAGCATCCACAGCAGCTATGGCAACAAGGACAACCAGAAGCGGTCTTCTATAGGTTTTAATATGTTGTTCACATAATATCCAAATCACATAATGTCCTATTTCACAGAATGTATGGTGATGTTAAGCAATGCATACTTGTAGTCTAACATTTTTTTCTGAAAGTTCTTATAGGCAGGAAGTTTATTTTTAGACATGTGTTTTCACCCCTAGGCTTGGGAGCTGGTACTAAGTTTCTTCATATCTCTGTGTTGACTCTTCTACTAATTCTGTTTCTTGTCCTATTGCTTATTGCAAGTATTAGTATTAAATTTTCTTCTAAAAATTTGTGCAAACATCTTTGTCAGTTGTATCTTACTGTTGATTTGTCTTCTGTGGGGTATTTTTCTTCAATATTAAAAAGATACAAAAAATAATGGTATCTTAGGGATACCAGATTACATTGCAGCCCTCTGCAGTGAAAGGATTGCTGAGCTATGGGAGACTGGGTATTAGTTTTAATAGCTGGGGAAGGAGGATTAGAGAGGGTATACTTAAAGATGAGAATTTACTGTAGTCCTAATGTTTTTTTAAATAGGCCTTAATTACATTGAAATACTGAACTTACGGATTTTATTTCTCCCTTTTTCTGTTTAGAAGAGTGTTCATATTTCATGTATAAAGGAAAATGCATCTGCTAAGTTTTTGGCACCATATACCTCCTTTTCCAGAATTCATGCAAAGAGTGTAAGTATTTTGTTAAAATGAGGAAAGAGCATAATAGCATGTTAATTTTTCATTTTATCTACTTGTCTAGTACTGTAAACATTCATAACTAATGTGTCTTTCATTTTCTTTACATTGTAAAATAATACAGCTGATGAAGTGTGATGTGTTTGGCAAAACTGGTACTCATGTCTTCATAGAATATGTTTCATGTCCGTTCTCTGGTGATCTTAAAGAAAGGAATTGTATGAAATTTCCTTAAAAGTGTTCTACCAGAGCTTACTGGCTTTTGGGTAATGAAGATAGTTGCTGGTTGTCTTAGGCTTAGTTCTCTAGAGAAGCAAAACCAGTGAAGCTTATATATGTGTATATATATAACAGAAAGGGATTTGTCTCAAAGAAATAACTTATGTGGTTGTAGAGGCTGGCAGGTCCCACGTCCATGGTTTAGATGTCAGGCTGGGTGCTTCTTCTGACTTATGTAGCTGCAGGGGCTGATGAAACCAAGATCAGTAGGTGGGACAGCAGGCTGCTTGCCTCACAAGCTGTGGAGGCTAATGAATCCCTAGATCAGCAGGCCAATGGCTCAAGTCCCAAGAACCAGAGGTCACATGATGATGAGCCAGATGTAGGATCCAGAGGGAGCAAAATGCCAGAGAGCTTTATCAGAATATCTGTATATGGTAACTGCAGGCCATACCCCTGAGGAAACTCCTTTTCAACTGATAGACTATTAGTAGCAGATCTTAGCATAGAGGTGATTACATTGTATCAGATCTCACCATGGAATGATTACATTGTATCAGGTCTCATCTTAGACGTGATTACATTATTACATAACTGTCAGACTACATCCTAACTGCCAAACCACTGAGAATTATGGCTCAGCCAATTTGACACACAACCTTAACCATTGCACTGATGTTTGCATAATAGGTTGCTGCTCATATAAGCCTATAAGATGGGGATATAGCATATTGAGAAATAATGTTAAAAGATCTTTATGATGAAGGCTTTCCTACTTCTATGGACTTTTTTTCTTTTTTTATTAGGATTTGGGTGAAGATTTACAGAGTAAATTCACTTTTCATACAGCAGTTCACATATACTTTGTCTCATGTCATTGAC